TGATTGACAGGTCACGCCCACTTGCTCAGCTGGCTGGCCATGCCCTCATCTCCCATCTCAATCAACTATACAGATATATAAATTTTCACCACATGAATGTATACAAATCAAGAAAGAGAATGTCATCAGTACTCAAAAGCTTTTTGATCCCCTTCCAGTAATTACCTTCCCAAGGGAGTCCTGACCTGAATCATTCACTATAGATCAGTATAGATTATGGTTCAAATTTTACATAAATGGAATCACACAGTATCTGCTCCTGAGTTTGCCCTCAATTCATTAGTATGTGTATAAAATATATCCATGTGTTGTACACAGCTGGAGACTGTCTACTCATATGATTGTTCAGGATTCCACTGGGGGACTATAACCACAATCTATCCAATCTACTCTACAGGGGCACTTGAGTTGTTTCCAATTTTACAGAGCATTCTTGGGGGGTGGGAGGAATATGCATGCATTTCTGTATGTCTACCCTTAGGAGAGGAATAACTGGCTTCCTATTCCTGTATCTCTGCAGTATATTTCATATTTATTTATGATTAAGAATGTAAGACTAATTATGTCATCAAGGCACAGAAACATGAGTCTGTCAGACCCATGTTTGTTCTTTAGAATATTTCTGTTGATTAGTAGTTAATTTTAATTGTATGAGTTTTATTGTATTAAACAATGAGTACTTAACAGGAAAAAAATCACAAAAATAAAGCACTGAGTTTTTAATATTACTTATAAAAATTAACATTTTCAGCATTGACTGGTTTTGGTGTACAAAGTCTAAAAAAAGAAATCACAAATAAATTCCTATATGAACTGCAATGAAAGTACCAATCGCACTCTATAAAAGCATGATCTTTACTTCAATTATCACACCTAAGACAGTCTGTACACATGACAATAGTGCATTGCACATACATGCATTGCTTACACTGACAGCACACACTTTTGCTTTCCTGGCCTTTTTGTAAGACATACTTGACATGTCAGTGGTCTTACTATTTTGTCAGAAGATTCCTATATAATACACTGTGAAGTTCACAGGAACATAAAATATCAATTAAAATAATTAAATTCTTGTTTTTGGGACACAGTCTCTCTATGTAGCTCAGATTGGCCTTGAACTCACTATGTAACCCAGAGTGGTCTTGAGCTCATGGTGATCCTCCTGCCTCAGTCTCCCAAGTGCTGGGATTAAAGGCATCAAATTACTAAATTCTTAATATATCTTGTGCATTTAGAATAGACATCAGCATTTCACACCAGCTGAGCACTTGCTTACAAAACCTAAAAGATAACATCAGAAGTAAATTCCCATATGGACTACAATGAAAATACCAATAGGACTCTACCACTAAATATACCTTGCTTCAATTGACACTTAAGCCTTCATACACAAAAACTGCATGTTCCACACACAAGTATCGCTTACACTGAGAGCATGCATGTTTTGTTCTCCTGTACTTTCGTGTAGGGCACAGTCGACATCTTTGTTTGCCAGCTGTTGTAGCAGGTCTTTGTGATCCTGCACCTGCCTGTTTACCTGTCAGTTAACCAGGGTGTTCCATAATTTTTTTCCATAGTTCTCTGAACAGAAACATGTTAGTTTTCCTCTTCTGTAAATGATCTTTTGTGAGTTCCAGTACCAATTCTCTAAGAAAATTTCTCCATAATATTTTGCACTTCCTTTCTCTGTAAACTGTCAAACTATTTATACCACACGTTTAGGTTTGAGTGAAACACAACCATCAGCCAATGCTTTGTGTTTCAAGTGACATCACACTATATAACTGTTATATGGCATATAACTATAAGTTATATGCTATATAACTCATCAAAAACATCTACTCCACCTTCGTTTTGTTGTTGAAAGTTGCCATCTCAGGCTTCTATTTTGTTGAGGTTTCCCTATAAATGTTTTTAGCAATACTGGTTTTTCTTTGCCATATATGAAGCCAATGTAGTATCTTTCTGAAACCCAAAGATTGTACTATACAATTCTGTTTTGAAATTGAAACATTCCATTTGAAACGTCTGCTTTATTCCTGTGGACAGTTCCTGTGCTGGCCAATTGTACTCTACTAGCAAATGTGACATCAGTTGGAAACTGAGATAAACCGATTTTTTTGCTTGTTTTTTTAAAACCAATTGTTGTCACATTCTGATTAGTTTAAGAGAGAAAAGCAACAAGTCTGTTTATAAAATCACATGAAGAAGATTCCAATGGCTGAATTCTAGCATAAATGTCTAAATTAAATGCATAATGTCTTTGCATCTACAAGGGCATACATTTTCGTCATATTTTGACCCATTGTTTTTCCATATCTTTTACATTCCTGTGATCATAAGAAATCTGTGCCAAGTACAGCACACCTACAAATACTTTCAGTGTAGCTAGTGAGCTGTCATAATAAATACATTTTTAATATGGCGATGGGTGCATATAGAACATTTTGTGTGCATTTCAGCCTGTGTGTATTTCATAGCATCTTGTAGCATTCTATCGATTACAATTTCCAACACTGAGTGGCAGTGCTATCCAGCATGTTTCACCCCTGCCAAGACCTACACTGTTTTCAGATCTTCTTCTAACATTGCATTGCCCCATTTGGTTGTGTGTCCATTTCGCAGTATTTTGACTAAAATAGGTTCTCATGTTGCTACTTTTTGGGGGGGGGGTCTTTTTCTTTTTTATCGGTACCGGGGATCGAACTCATGACCACACCCTTGCAAGGCAGGTGCTTATGCCGCTGAGCTAAATCCCCAGCCCCTATTTTCTTCATCATCTGAATCACGGAGGTCTGTATGCCCTGTGCTTTTATCAGTTAATTCTTGCTCTGTTTCACTGTCAGAGCAGCTTTGGCTCACATGGCCAATATCAAAGTCATCATCATCATCCACTCACCCCACTCTTCTGGTATAAAAACATGTATTTTACCATAATGGGTCACCTTTATCATCCATGCATGTGTAATCTGATGTTTCACTCAACTTCCCCCAAAACTTGCTAATATGGTTTTTCATGTGTCATTGTATGGAATTGGACTACTTTAACCAGAAAAAACAAAAGTAAACTTCATTTTTAACAAATCTTGGAGTGGTGTGGGTCTCTCAGACCCTCTGTGATGTTTGAGTAAACATACACAAAACTAGTTTGCTGGAGCACAAAGGTGGGACCAAATCCTATTCTGCCACTTTTGCACATATGCACACTCCTTGGGGTTCATCATAACACGAGTAAACACATAGTTTGCTTCCTGAACCCCTCAGGGAAAGATACTGAGACCATAGCTGGCTACTATAAAGCTAAAGTACAAATTTACAGTAGAAATGGAAGGGATGGACCCAAGCTTATCTCCCTAGTTAAGTTCACCAATTCAAAGATGGACCTTTTTGCAGGTGCCTGACATTTACATGCAAGCTTCTTATGCCCACTGGGGAAAAAAAAAAAAAAACAGATAAGCTCTGAGATAAGTAAGTTAGGCTGTGCCTTTCTACTAAAGCTAGCTGATACACCTCTCAAACCAGATGTCTCCTTGTTCAGGAGTTTACCTAATTATACACAGCGATACAAGGCTACGTCTGCGATTTTTTTTTTTTTTTATGTTTCAGGGCTTTTTATCCTTAATCTGCCTTCTGTGAAATAGAGGTACCCAAGATTGCAGGAACATTTGAAAAAAGCAGTGCCACAAAATGGAACTCAGCTCTGGGATGACTTATTCCCTAGTTAAAGAATAACTCACAGAACAGATAAATTGTGTAGACTTTGTTTGGATCCCAATCTGAGTAATACAAAATGAGAAAATGGGGAAATCTAAGTGTTGCATGGGTATTGAATACTATGCAGTATCTTTGTAGAAATCATAATAATTTTGTTTTTAAAATAGTTCTCACCTTTTAGATATTGAAGTATTTACAAGTTAAATAATACTGTCCAGAATCTGCTTTAAAATAGAAGGGATAAAGTTTAGGTTTAAAAAAAAAAGAGGGGTATTTGTTGGTAATTGTTGTCGCTGGATGCTGAGTATGTGGGGTTCACTGTAAACTCTATCATGTGTATATCTGAAAACTCCCATTTAACTGGGCGTGGTAGCACACTCCTGTAATCCCAGCACTCGGGAGGCTGAGGCAAGAGAATCTTTTGCAAGTTCAAGACCAGCCTGAGCTACAAAGTGAGCCCAAGGCCAGCCTGAACTGCATAGCAAGACTCTGTCTCGAAAAAAGAAAAGAAAAAGAACAAAATTCCCATTTAATGAAAAAAGGACAAGGGAAAAAAAGCTCAGTTGGTGAGTATCCGTTATCAGGTCCCCTAACAGCAGGTTTGGGTAACCGGTCTCTGTCATTTATAAATTCTGTGACTTCTGCACACATGCACACTCCCTGCCATTCCCCACAAACAAACGGCAAGCTTCCTAATGTCTTGGCTCACCGTCCCTTAAACTGGCGTTTGGCTGAGATTTCCTGGGATGGAAAGAAGCCCTAGGACTATGGACATGCAACGTGAAAAGCACTGAAAAGACAAAGAATTCAACAGTCAAAGGGCCGCAAATTTTAATCTTAGCTCTGATACTTGCCTGTGACACTGAACACTGTCCTATCTACCCAGCTACACACACACACATATTTTTAAAGACAAGAGTAGCTCAGACTGGCCTCAAACTCACAGCCACCCTCCTGCCTCAGTATCCCGCGCACTGGGATTACAGGCGTGCTCCGCCATACCCAGTAGCCTTTATTTATAAAAATGACATTTGTCTCGTTGATAGGAAAATTAAAAGCTGTAACTGGTCTGGCACGGTAAATAATAAATACTACTTTTCTTTCTTAATTTCCCAATTTTGCTCATACTAGGAGGACCTGGCAACCTTCCACCTGGGTCATCAAAACACCTACCAGCCAGAGACCCAGGCGGCAAGGTGCGCGCACAGCGCCCTCGCGCGCCCAGCCGGGGAACCGCCGCGGGAGTCGCTCCGCCCACCAGCGACCGCGGCTGCGCGAAGAAACCCGCCCCCGAAGTTTGTTGTTGTCCAGTGTCCCGGTCGCGGCGCCACCATGGCGTTGCGACAAGCGCTGGGCCGCGGCCTGCACCTGGGTCGAGCGCTTGTGCTGCGCTTCACTGCGAAGCCCGGCGCGGCCTACGCCTGGGGGCGGCCAGGCCCGGCGGCGGGATGGGGTCGGGGAGAGCTCCCGGGCCGAGCCGCAGTGCTCGGCGCACAGGCTCGGGGACTCGGGCTGCGGCTCCCCGATCGCTACCGCTTCTTCCGCCAGTCGGTGGCCGGGCTGGCGGCGCGACTCCAGCGGCAGTTCGTGGCGCGGGCCCGAGGCGGCGCGGGCCCCTGCGGCCGAGCGGTGTTTCTGGCCTTTGGGCTGGGCCTGGGCCTCATCGAGGAGAAGCAGGCGGAGAGCAGGCGGGCGGCCTCTGCGTGCCGCGACATCCAGGTGCGCGCGGCCGGGGGCGGGGCACCGAATGGGCGTGTCCTAAGGTGGGTGTGGCTAACTCAGGGGCGGGATTGGTGGACGGTCCCTGAGCCGGGGTTGGCTGGACTGTGGTTGGGGGCGGACCCTAAACCAGGATGGGGCGGAACCGGGGAGGGCAGGTGTGGCCTCCCGCCCCTATCACATGACTTAGGGACGGGTCTATAAAGGAGCTCTGAGCCCTGCGATGTGGCCGGATTGGGAGTGTGGGCGTGGTGGGGGGGGGTCAGTACCCCGGCTGAAATAAATGAGTGAGTGGATCTTGGTTAGGAATGAGAACGTGGTTCTCAAGAGGGACGGAGCTTTGCCAGCAGATGGTGCAGGTGGGTGGGAGGAGGTTAAAGTCCTTGAAAATAACCAGTTGAGATTGACTTGGCGAGCAACAAAAAAATTACTGTATCCACTCCCATTTTCTTCAGGGTTTCCTTTCTTCAAACAGTATGTTTGGGAAGTGTGCTGCTGCTTCCAGCACCAGTTGCATCATGGCAAATGGCTTTGTGTGAATTTTCTAAAACGTTAATGTTGAGGTAGCTGTTATCCCTAATTTGTAGAGGAGGGCATGTACAGAGAGGTGACCTGACTTGCCCAGACTTTACTAATAAATGTGGTGCCTGAAATCTGTGCCGTCAACCACTGATCCAGGCTTCTTAGGCTAGCCAAATGTTTAGTCAGTGACTGCTGAAACTGCAATAAAAACTACCAGCGGCAAGAAAACAGCAGACCTAACGTTTTAATTAACTGCCGTAGAGTTATCACTGTCGACTGGATACTTAGGGGCTCTCAGGCTTTTTAGATGTTTAAATAGCTTCACCAAACTCTAGAGTAGTCAGGTTTTCCAGACAAACAGAACCAGTAGGGTGTGTATATTTAGAGAGAGGGATTTATTTTAAGAACTTGGCTCGCTATGGGCTGGCAAGTCTAAAATCTGGAAGGCAAGCTAGCAGGGCCGGCTGCTGACTCGGGACCAGAGCCACTCTACAATGCACTCTACAATCCACTCTGGTGGCTGTGGCTGCCAGAATTCCACCCTCTTCTGTAAGGTTTCCCAGGAACCACTTCGTTGAGTAAGTGCAGCCCTGCATTTCACAAGTAGGGTCAACAGGGAAGAGGAGGTGACACACACAAGGACACAGCAAGCTAAGGACAAGGCAGCCTCCGTGTTTCCTGGCTCCCAGCCCAATTCGTGTTTCTCTTCAGCAGAGGGTCTCGATTTGAGCTCTTCCCAATTTGGACCGACGGGTGAGGTCTAGCCTGGTAGCCAGCCCCTCTTCTTCCTGTTTCTTGTTGCCAGTTAGGCAACAGAAACTAAGAATGGAAAATTTTTAATAAATCCTACATAACACTAAGGAGATTTTTTTTTCTTTTTACTAAAATTAACTCCCCTGAGTTATATCTTGAAATTTTTAGTTGCTCATTAATTTCACATTGAAAAATCAGGCATTTGACTTCATTTCTCTTGATTTTGTTTTTGTTTTTTGGTACCAGGGATCCAACTCACGACTTTGGGCTTGGCAAGCAGGCACTCATGCCCTGAGCTAAATCCCCAGCCTTGACTTCTTTTGAACAAAGTCACCAGATTTGATTATTCTGGTCGTACCAAAATTCCCATTTTGTGTCAGACTGGAATAAAATCATAGCTGTTCTCTATTCCTAGATGGAGGCCTGTTTAAAAAGAAACAAGCACAAACAGGAAGAACAAACTCAGACTGAGAGTAGCTCTGTAGTAGAGTGCTTGCCTACCATGTACAGGACCCTAGGTTTGATCCCAGCATCAAAAAAGAAAGAAATCAAATCCTGTCATAAGTGAGTGATAACATAAAATGGAAAATAATTTAGCAGTTTCTTATAGCACTGTGTATTTAACATATACTCTTTCCTTGTAGTCATGAACATTAACCGAAGACATTTAAACCACGTTCATACAAAAACCTATACACGGGACTGGGGATTTAGCTCAGCGGCATAAGCGCCTGCCTTGGAAGCAGGCAGTCGTGAGTTTGATCCCTGGTACCGATAAAAAGGAAAAAGACCAAAAAAAAAAAAAACCTATACACAAGCACCTGCTATGGAAAAAGTATGGTGATTCCTCAAAAAATTAAAAACAAAATTACTGTATTCAGAAATTCTGCTTCTGAGTGTATACCCAAAATAATTGACAGCGGGGACATTAACAGATATTTATAAGGCCATATTCATAGCAGCTTTATTTACAATAGTCAGGAGATGAAAGTGGCCTAGGTGTCCATGACTGGAAAACAGGCAAAGAACATATGTATTTGCACACAGTAGAATGTTACAATTCTTCCTTAAAAGGGAAGGAAATTCTGATCTGTGTAGTGACAAGGGCCAACCTGGAAGACAGCGGTGTAAGGTTCCACTCACGAGGTTCCCAGAATAGATTCAGAGACAGGAAGGACAGCAGTGGCTCCAAGGGGTGGGGAGAGAGAAGACGGAGGGGTACTGTTTCCTGGACACTGAGTTTTGTTCTGTGCGTCGAGAACAAGGTGTGGAGATGGATGGTGAGGGCTGCACAAGTGTGGAAGTGCGTGATGCTGCTAAACAGTAAAGCTAAGGATGGGTAAAAGCATGGTGGTCAGCTTTCTGTTACTATATGAAAATACTTGGTAAAGGTAGCTTGAAGGGCAAAGGGTGGTTTTGGCTCATGGTGCAGAGCTTTCAGTCCATAGCTGCTCAGTTCCCTTGCGTCTGGCCCTGCATTGAGGCCAAGCAGCACAGACTGGCAGGCAGGAAAAAGCCAGGGACAGGATGTAGCCCTCAGGGGCACAGCCCAGGACTCACTCCCAGTAACCAGAGCCACTTCCTGAGTTTACACCAGGTTATGAACCATGAGTGGATTAATGCACGGATAAATCAGAGCTTGGTGGTCTCATCACCTTCCAAATGCCCCTTTGGGGGACATTTTAGATCCAAACCACAACAAATGATAAATTTTATGTCATAAACTGGAAGAGGTTTTTTATGCTTGTAGTCTCAGTGCTCAGGAGACTGAGGCAGGAGGATCACCATGAGTTCAAAGCCAGCCTGAACTACAGCCTGAGACCATTTCTCAGAAACAAAAAAAAGAAAAAATTAAAAACTGTGTCTTATTCTCAAAATCATGGTTGAAGTAGGGTTAATCTATAAAATTTTGCTTCTGCTCCATGGAATTTATAAAGTCTATTAGCTGCCAGGTATGATGGTATATTTGGGAGGCTAAAGTGGGATTGCCATGAGTTTAAGGCCATGCTAGACTACATAGTGAGTTCAAGGTAAACCTGAAAAGAAAAAACAAACAAACAAACAAGAAAATGCAACTTACTGGCAAGGGAAGCTAAAGAAGATTAGACTTCTTTTTTTTTGAGTCAGGGCCTTGCTATGTAATTGAAACTGGCCTCAAACTCAAGGCAGTCCTGCCTCAGCCTCCAAGATGCTGGGATTACAGCTGTGTGCTGCCACTCCTGGTTTAGACTCTCATTCTTATTATAAGGTTCAGAGTGACAGTGCTAGGTACAGCTACTAAGTGCTTTAGGAATTCTCCAAAAGAAATTCTCCAGATGACCTGTGGGCTGGGTTGTCATGGTGGCCACTGTCGAGGAAGGCACTTGAGTTGGGTTTGATGGGAGGGTAGAGATGTCCAGGCAGAGCAAGACCCAGGGCATAAGGGACGCAGGGGATGGGATGGTGTGAGCAGGAGACCAGAGAGAAGTGGTGGAAAGCCGAGTGCTGCCATGCACAGCCCAGCCTGGCAGAGTTCCAGGACAAGGCGCGATTGTCTCTTGGTATCCACAGGATATTGGTTCCAGGATCTCCCTCAGATACCAAAAGCCATGGATGCTCAAGTCCCTTATGGCATAGCATTTGCATAGGAGCTGCCTATATCCTCCTGTAAACCATCTCCAGGTAACTTACAGTGCCCTTACAGGTAACTGTAAGTTACCTCCAGGTGACTTACAGTGTAACATAAGTGCCATGCAAATACCATAGTGCATTATTTGTAGACGAATGACAAGAAAACATTCTGTACATGTTCGGTACAGTTGCAACTTTTTTTCAAATATTTCCCATCCACAGTTGCTGAATCATAGATGCAGAGCCTGCAGACATGGAGGGCAGACAGTATTGGGTAGCCTGGGGGAGGGGTTGGGATAGGAGAAATACATGAAGGCAGTGTGGGGAGAACTGGCCCAGAGGCAGGGAAGGGACCATGTGATTGCAGAGAACGTGCCCTGTAGGCACTGTCTTGGTGAGTACCAGATGCCCCTAGCACTGTGGGTGGCTGACCAGGTATTTGGAAAGGAAGAGCTCACCAGTTAGACCATTGGAGGACAGAGGTGGAGCCTGGGTGGTACAAAATGACATCACCACTGCTACCAGAAGCGGGGAACAGCCTGGAGTTTGGGAAATGGGCCATCCGTCCCAGCACCCACACCCCATCTGTTCCTGTCAGAAATCTCACGTGCAGGCCCATTACCTTTCCAAACTGTGCTTTCTGTGAAGATAGCACTCAGTGATTCAGGTCATAGCTACTCCTGCTCTCACCCCTCCCTGCCAATGCCACCCGGGGTCCCTGTGGATCCCATAGCCCTGGTGGTCATCCCGGAGCTGTCAGACTGTCTTTGTGAATCTGTATCTGAAGTCAGACTGCCCAAGGCTACAGGGAGAGACTGCCCACAAAGGCAGCTGGCAGACCCGGAAGTTCTCACCTGCTTGCTGACTCCCAGTGCTGGGTCCGATGTGCTCTGATCACTGCACGGCACAGAGTGGGTAAAATTTTATTCCAAGTAAAGACAGAGGCAGGACCTGCACCTACAGCGAGCAGTCAGACCGAATGTGGCTGTCACGATGACTCTCAGTGCTACCCAGCCTCACCGTATTTCTCTCCTCTGCCTTTACCTAGAGCCTCCTGGCTCATGGTGATTTTTGGTTTCCTCCCAGGCCATTTTTACCCAGAAAAGCAAGCCAGTTCCTGACCCGCTGGACACACGACGCTGGCAGGGCTTCCAGCTAGAGGACTATCTGATAGGACAGTCCCTCGGCAAGGGCTGCAGCGCTGCCGTATATGAAGCCACTGTAGCTGCATTGCCCCAGCACCTGGAGAAGACAGAGGGCACCAGGCCGCTGCCAGGGAGCGGCCCAGATGTCATCTCACAGGGAGAGGAGGAGCAGACTCCAGGGACCCCTGCCTTTCCCCTTGCCATCAAGATGATGTGGAACATCTCGGTAAGGACTGGGGCTGTCTACTTGCAATTGTGCATTTCTCCAAGTGCTCAGCTAAGTGGACCTGGTGGAGTTTTTTCCTTAGAGTAGATAGAAAAGGACACAGATTCTCCACAGAAAGTGTACTCTGTGGTTAGGCTTCCTCACTCGTTTACATGAGATTCTGAAGCTGCATGTTTCAAATTGTGTCCACAGGGCTGGGGATTTAGCTCAGCGGCATAAGCGCCTGCCTTGCAAGCAGGCAGTCGCGAGTACGATCCCCGATCTCTGGTGATGATAAAAAGGAAAAAGACAAAAAAAAAAAAAAAAAAAAAAAAAAAGAAAGAAAGAAAGAAACAAATTGTGTCCACAGCTTATCTGGGGATCAGGCTCAAAGGCAGATTTGGATTCAGCAGGCCAGGGGTGGAGCCTGAAAGTCTGGATTCTGTCCACCAAGTTCCTAGGTGATGCCCGGCCCACTGGTCTGTGAACCACACTCTGAGGAGCTACGATCAGTCATACGGCTGACCTCTCCTTCCCTCCTCTCCTGCCATGACTTAACCTCCCTGGAGAAGAAGGGCCAGGCACCTGTCCTGCAAACTCCCCCTCAGCACCCCTCCCCGCCCCGTGGTCAAAGCTTCCTTGTCATCTCCCTGCTGTCAGCTCTTGGAAGGGCTAAAGGCCTTGGGGCATTGAAGAGCATCTCCCCCAACAAAATCAGAGATTTCCATCTGTTTAATGTCTTTACTTTGCCATTATAAGATAAGTTCAGGAAATTCGTCAAGATCCAGTGCATTTTTTATTGCCCAGAGCATCCCTCCAAGCCTAAGATGGACAGAGCCATGCAGCTCATGCTGGACACTACAGTGCAGTTTCTTTTTCATATTTTTTTTTTTGAGGCAGTGTTTCACTATGGAATTCAAGCTGGCTTTGAACTCTCTTTGTAGTCCAGGCTGGCCTCCATTCTCAGTGATCCTCCTGCCTTAGCCTTCCAAGTTCTGGAAGCGTGTGCCACTGTACCTAGCAAGTCTCTTGTTTTGATTTTGGGTGCAAAGGTAATTAGACTGTTGCACTCCATGCTGGGGAAATAGCTAACAAGTCATCAAATCCTTAGCCTGTAAAAAATCCCACCCTAGCTTCTGATTTCCCATGGCAGATGTTGTGTTCACAAAAGTAAAAGTAAGGTGATTATTACAGGATCTTCCTGGTATTTATCGGTCTTCATAGGTCCTGGGAGCTATTGATAACTGGGGAAGGAAAATCAGGTGCTCATTCTCCTCCTGGGTTTCTGGGGGGTGGGAAGGCTGCCCTGTGATCCTGCACTGCTTAATCCAGGTGGTTTGTCAGCCTCCACTTGTCCACAGAAAGACCTGGTGGTGGTGACCAGGGCACCCCCGACAGGAAGAAGCACTCTGTGCTCTGACCATGTTGGTTGTCCTTGCGCCCTGGGCACCTTGGCTGCCGTATCTGAGGTGCAGGAAGCATCCTCCAGCTTGACACGGAGAGCACCTCCTGTCTTTCTCCTATGGGGAACTCGTTTTATCTTAATCCTTCGGAGAGATTATCTTATCTTGAGGGTCAAAGCCAATTCTGGGCAGCAGCTGCCTGGTCCAGATCACATGCAGGTCTTGGAACTTGCCTTCCGTCAGGACCTGTGTAACGCTGGCTCCATCCTGCTCTGTCCATCCAGGCGGGCTCTTCCAGCGAAGCCATCTTCCGCAAGATGAGCCAGGAGCTGGTGCCAGCTAGCCGAGTGGCCTTGGCTGGGGAGTATGGAGCAGTTGCGTACAGGTACCTGGGTCCCATGCCCCACCCCACCTGCCGCAGGTCTCCATTGAGACACCCCAACACCTCTCCAGCACAGCCCCATCTCGTCCGAGCTCCCCATGACATCTGCTGGGGCCAGGCAACCTCACTGCGGGTCTGATTCTCCCTCCAGCCCAGTGGCAGGAACCACACTGCATGGGGCAGGAGCCCACCAGGGTGACGCAGAAGGAGCACTAGAAGAGGACGTGTGAACTGGGCCACAGAGCTCAAGGGTCAGGGCAGGGGTCTTGCTTTCAGCGTCATCTGGCCTCTCCGCTGGGCCCCGCTGTGTTCTCTCTACCCTTAGCATCCTTATTTCCTCCCCTGTGGCTGGTCGTTGCTGTTGACTGTTGGCTCGAACCTGTGACCCAGGGAAGCCCTGGGATGTTCTCCTACCTCGGCTCCATTCTTCTTCACCACATTCCCAAAGAGAGACTCTACCTCCCCTGCCTCCTGTCCCACTGACCATCTGTTCTCCGGTGTGCCTGGAGCCACAGTGCCCCTGGTGCAGATGCCCACCCTCCGTCCAGTCAGCTTTGGTTGAGGGGCAGAGCTGGCATAGCCTTCAGGGCCACCTGATGCAACATCCAGCCAGTGTCTTCCTCAGCAGGTTTGTGGGTGTGGGGCTTAAGCAGGAGGAGAGGCAGGACAGCTGCTAACTGCATGTGTCCATTTCCGCGTTCAGCAGTGATGATGCTGGAACCTGGAACCATGGAAACAATTTAAGCAGGATCCCTGTCCTTAATTACTTAGTTAGTGTCCCTTTCCTGCTAGATCGCAAACCCATGAGGACAGGGCTCTGGCCTGCTCCTGCCTGGCTCCATAGCATGCTAGCACAGTGTTCAGTATCTTGTGTGATAACAGTAAATGTTCATTGAGTCAAGCCAGTAGTGGTGACTGCCAGTATTTGCTGAGTGCTTCCTCTGCTGACCATGATTCTAGGCACTTGAGGTGTGTTACCAGCACTATGCAGTGCCCCCCTGACTTATCCCTTAGCACTTGGCTCTAATCCCAGAGAAGATGAGTGACTAGGCCAGGAACTCACAGTGGCAGACCTGGAATTCAAAGCTAGCCTGACTCCAGGTCCCTTGACTACCATGTTCTGCCACATCGACGGATGGATGGACAGATGGACAGATGGACGGGTGGGCTGAAAGATGAAGTAGGGGCATGACCAGTTGGTGAGTCTCCTCAGTAGATTTTGGTCCCCAGCACCATGTAAAATACCCAAAACATAGCAGACCTACAGTAAATATTTGGTAACTAAGTGAGTGCAAATAGGTCCCCATTTTCTTTTCCAGTTTGCATCTCTGATGCTGGTCTCACATATCTGTCTCGTTTGACTGAACAGAAAATCCAGAGGAGGTCCGAAGCAGCTTGCCCCACACCCCAACATTATCCGCGTCTTCCGGGCCTTCACCTCCTCAGTGCCACTGCTGCCGGGGGCCCTCACTGACTACCCAGATGTGCTGCCCCCTCATCTCCACCCTGAAGGTCTAGGCCATGGACGCACCCTGTTCCTCGTTATGAAGAAGTAAGTGGCAGGGTATGGTGGGACCTGGGAGCTGCTTTGCCTTCCCAGTGGGAGCACCTCTGTTGCTGGAGCGCTTCCCTGGCTTGAGAGGAACCTAGCCAGGTGGCAGGTGTGTGCTCCCCTAAATAGCACTTCCCCATTAGGGTGACTTCTCTGGGAAACAAAAGTCCCCTTCCTCCCGAGCACCCTTGTCATCCAGTGCTTTGCATATGCCTATTGCCCATTGCCCCTTCTCCATAGCTTACCTGCCCATGGAGACACCCCGTCTTCCTCACCCCTGGAGCCATCGATCTCTGCTGTACTGGTGTTTAAGGAAGCAAGCGGCTGCACGGTTATGTTGAACCCCTAGATCCTCAGCTCTGACTCCCTAGCTTTGGGATGGGGATGGGTGGTAACAGAAATGACATGCAGGAGAAAACAAATCCAGAAGCTGCAGAAAGGTGCAGAGGAAAGGATAAGTTGCTAGGGAGCGGGCTGCGTGATAGTCAGAGACCCTGTCCCCTCCCAGCTACCCCTGCACCCTGCGCCAGTATCTCCGTGTGAGCACCCCGAGCCCCCGCCTGGCCACTGTGATGCTGCTGCAGCTGTTGGAAGGTGTGGCCCATCTGGTTCAGCAGGGCATTGCGCACAGAGACCTCAAGTCCGACAACATCCTCGTGGAGCTGGACGCAGGTAGGCGCCTGTGTCCCCTCACGGCTCTCTCGGGGGTGCAGAGAGCAGGTCTGGGCTTTTCATGCTGTCCTGCCATTACATCTTCCTTTAGCTCTGTACACAAGAGGTCCCCACCCCAAACCCGGGACAGGTGACAGCACTGTGAGGGTTCCTAAGATCTTCTCTGTTGTCCAGTTATAGATTAGGAGCTTTAGAGGTGCAATTTTCCTTGAATAATAAGCAGTAGACTTTAGCTCCATAGGAAAAGCAATTTTCAAACAGTGAAAGCTGTCCAGACGCTGCCTGTAGAAATGACTTTGCCATTACTGGGCGCATTCAAGTAGAGGCCGCCTGCCTGAGATTATCATACACATTGACTTTTTGTTTGTTTGCTTGAGACAGGGTCTTGCTTTGTAGTTCAGGCTGGCCTCAAACTCATCACATCCTGGCTCAGCCTCCTAAGTACTGGGATTACAGACGTGTGCCACTATACCTGGTTTAAATTCTAAAACTAGAGATTTTAAAATAATTAAATGGCTAGAGGAACTAGCTTTTTAAAAGAACTATATGAGTCCTTTTACAAATAACTACTCCCTAATGTTTCTATTTCTTAGATTTATTGGGGCTTTAAATTCAAAACTAAGACTACTGGAGTATAAGTACCAGTAGACGTCATCTGAGCCAAACACAGCTCCTTTGGTCTTGGGACAGCTTAGGTTACTAGAATTACCTAGGTAGAGCCAGAGTCTTTTATCTAGTCCTTTGCCTGAGGACTTGACGGGCTCTTCTTCCCTGAAGCACTTCATGTCACTGGCCCCCTTGTTCTCTCTAGCAGACTCCTGATTAGGCCTTGCTGGCCTTGCTGGCCTTGCTGGCCTGCACTCCTGGATCAGCCCAGACCCTGTGAGCCCAGTTCCTCCCTGACCTGGTAGTGGTTTCTGTAGGGACCTGGGCAGCCTGCTGGAGGGAGGACGAGAGGGAGGAGGACAGTGCTCACCTCTGCCCCCTGCTTGGCAGGTGGCTGCCCCTGGCTGGTGATCTCCGATTTTGGCTGCTGCCTGGCTGATGAGAGCGTCGGCCTGCAGTTGCCTTTCCCCAGCTGGTATGTGGATCGAGGTGGGAACGGCAGCCTGATGGCTCCTGAGGTGAGTCCCACTGTGCATCCTCCACCCCCGACAGAAAGACACCCACCGCGTCCTCACAGCATGAAGGAACCGACACGAGGCTTCTTCCCTGCCACTTGGCTTTAACCAAGATGTCCACATGTGGGTTTTTCAGGCAGCCTCAGCAGGTCCTTCTGGGTTTGAGTCACAACTTGCTCAAGCCTCTGGCTCGGGTGACATGAACTATAGACTTGCCAGCATGCACATCAGTGTCACCCTCTGTTTCCCGAGCAGGTGTCCACAGCCCATCCTGGCCCCAGAGCAGTGATTGACTACAGCAAGGCTGATGCCTGGGCAGTAGGTACGATCGCCTATGAAATCTTCGGGCTCGCCAATCCCTTTTACGGCCAGGGTGGCGCCCACCTGGAAAGCCGCAGTTACCGAGAAGCTCAGCTGCCTGCCCTGCCCGAGTCAGTGCCTCCAGACGTGCGACAGCTGGTGAGGTCACTGCTCCAGCGGGAAGCCAGCAAGGTGAGGCTGCTCCCAGGCTTTGAGAGGACTGTGTGAGGGGAGACTTCACTCTGTTCACATCCCAGAGTGAAGGTCAGATCTGGGCAAGTGCTACAGTGATAGGCAGAGCCTCTGTCCCACAGAGGACAAGGCCAGAAAATGGAGTAAGATGTGAGTGTAAGCGAAGTGTTATCAGTCACCTTTCTGGCTGGAACAAAATACCTGACATACGATTGTAAGGAGAAAAGGTTGATTTTCACTCATGGTTTCCAAGGTTGAAACCCATGGTCAGCTGCATCCAGGACAGAAATACTATGGAAGGGCATGGTGGAGGGAAGCTGCTCAATGCATGGCAGCAGGAAGCAGACTTGGACGCAGCTAAAGAAAAGATGCACCCTTCAAAGAGATGCCCGTGACCCACTTCCTACAAACAGGCCCTGCTTGCTAACAGCATACTCAGCTGTGCTCAGCAGTGGGTTAATCTGCCAATGAGGCCAGCATCTCAGTACTGGTCTCTTGGGGAACATCTGTATGTAAACCACAGCATGGGAACAAGGACACTGGCCACCAAACCATGAGTCAGAATTCTGACAATCCCACTTCTTGGCTTTGCTAGTTGCTTAGAAAGTTACTCAGAGAGAAAAGGATGCATTTTGGGGGCCTAATGGTGATGGAGCATATGGAAACAACTGAGATCTAATCAGACAGGCAGATGGGAAGACATCTCCAGAGAGCAGACCTGGCCACTGTGAAATTAACATCAAGGCAAGTCTGTGTGAAGCCGTAATTGAAGTGGCAGGGATGGTCCAGGTGCAGCTGAGCAGAGCGAGCCAAGGCAGGCCTGGCTACAAGTGGCTGCTCTGCCGTTCACTGCTGCCCTCACACCGCACACGGCCTGCTGCTTGGTCACAGTGGCTGCTCGGTAGAGGCTTGTAGAGCAGCAACCCCACCCAGTTAGGAAGTGATGACAGAAGGTTCCTCGCCCCGGGCAGGACCACAGGCACATGGCCTTTTCAGTGTGGACAGTATCCCAACCATGCTTTTGCCCCCATGCACAGCTGCACACATGGCCAGTACTGGTCAGCTGGGGAAGGGGGTGGTATGAGGAGGAGCAGAGGGTGAGAGAACTGGGCTGGGAAGGCCCTGAGGACCATGCATTAGCCAAGCAGTTGTGGCTGAGCACTTGTCCAGCTGTTCTGAACTTCAGCTTCCTGTTGCAGAGACCGTCTGCCCGTGTGGCTGCAAATGTGCTTCATTTAAGCCTCTGGGGCGAAGACATTCTAGGCCTGAAGCATCTGAAATTAGACGAGATGATCGGCTGGCTTCTCCAGCAGTCCGCTGCCGCGCTGCTGGCTGACAGGCTCACAGAGAAGAGCTTCGTGGAAACAAAGCTCAAGATGTTGTTCCTCGCTAACCTGGAGTGCGAGGCGCTCTGCCAGGCGGCCCTCCTCCTCTGCGCGTGGCGGGCAGCCCTGTGAGGACTGTGCCCAGCTGGCTCGTTACTAAACAGCTTGGCTGCATCTGTGTGCTGATGGTATGTGAGTGTCGAGGGGGCTTAGCTGGGAGGTTGCGCATCAGGAGAAGCTGGAATGGGGGCTGGTCAGCCAGAGAGGGCCTCAGGTTTGGAAAACGGAAAGACATGAGTCAAAAGTTTAATCTGTAGTCAGTGACTGCAGCTGTGTGTGTCCCATAACCTGCATGGGAACTAAGCTGTCCTCCCTGTGAAATCAAGATGCTGGTCTAAACGAGGCATTGGCAAATCCTGGAGAGGGCCAGACAGATAGTACCGTAAGTTGTTACAACTGACTCTGTCATCAAAGTACAAAAGCAGCCTGACTAAACAAATGAGCACAGCTTCATTCGTGGGCCCTGAAATGTGATTTTCATCTGTCTCCAAATTTGTTTTCAACCATAAAGAAGCATAAAAACCACTTTTACTTTGCACTTGGTGACCAGATTGGCCCCTGGCCAGTTTGCCAACTCCTGGTCTAGACAAGTTCACAAAGCCTAGAAAAACTAATGCTGAACAATCACTCAGTCTCTTTTATCAGTGCTAAAGATAGCATGAAATGGCCTAGGGATATAGCCGGTGCCTGCCTGGCAAGTATAAGGTCCTGAGCTCAATTCGTGGTTCCAAAAAAAAAAAGAAAGACACCATGAGAGTTCTCTGCGTGCAGATCCCAAGGAGCCCATTCTCTGCACCAGGAGGGAAGTTACACTGGGCACCGCTGCTGACCCCAAGAGCCCCACCTTAAAACCCAGGAGCTATCCTCACAGAGCTCCCAACGTGAATGGTCAGTTTACCTGTTAGAGCATCTGTGCCCACCTTAGAGGATATCTAAGCCAAAGCAGTGGCTGTAGGTGGTGTTTATAACATTGCCTCCAGCACCAGGACTGAGCTGTGGCTGGTCTGAAAGGGGACCCTGGGGCCCAGTCAGCGTGTGCCTCCTGGCTGCCCAAGGTTTGGCAGTGAATTCAGACAGTGGCGAAGGGGCACCCGAGGAAGCATCCCTGTGGTGCTGCCTCATTAACCTGACGCCATCAACATGGTAAATGCGAATTAACAGTGTGGCATTTTAAACTCACTGATTTTCCTTTGGACTAACATTTCTTTAAAAAATTGTGAGACTCAGGCAAGTTTATAACACTGAATACATGATGTGCCAAACTAAATACCTGACTGGATGGTTCTTACACCCTCAAGGTGAGAGAATTTCAGGCAGATATCAACACTGAGGAAGAGACTTCATATATAATTTCACAAATGCTTTTTTTTTTTTTTTTTTTTTTTTTTGGTCTTTTTCGTTTTTATCGGTACGGGGGATCGAACTCATGACTGCCTGCTTGCAAGGCAGGCGCTTATGCCGCTGAGCTAAATCCCCAGCCTCCACAAATGCTTTTTAAGAACACAGCTATCACCTAAAGCAAGGTGAACTTTAACTTCAGGTGTTTCCAACCAAGCAGCTCTCCAACTGTATTTGCTCAGAGCTGTCATTCTAGACTCCCTAATTCAGGTTTCCCCACTTCCGCTCAGTGAGTTCACGGCAGCAAGACAGACCGAACTCTTGGCACAAGCAAAAGCGGCCACTGCTGTGACACCCCAGCTTTCCTGAACAGCACCCCAGAGCCAGCGAAGCAAGACAGGTTTCGGCTGAGGTGTGAGGATGTTTATTTTAGAAATGGGAGTGACTGCACTTATGAAAAATGCCATGCAGCAATTCATGGTGGAAAAACTTACATAGAAATTCCCTGACCTCCCCCTCCCCGGTACTCCCGCTGAGGTAAGGCTGCACCATCTTCCCACGGCTTTAATAACGAACAGAAAACCACAACACAACTCCCCATAAAAACACACCCCTCAGTCCGACTTCTCCTTCTCCTTCATGTGCAAGAAGACGATGCTGAAGATGAAGAGCCCCACCATCATGGAGAAGGCGCTGGTGTAGTAGGGGTAGGCCGAGGGGATGAAGCGCTCGTACTGCGTGTGCTGCAGTGGCCTCACTGACACCTGCAACAGGACAGAGGTGGCAGAGGCGGCCATGGGGCCTGCCAGGGACCGCTGCCTGCAAACAGCCAGCCTGCTCACCTGCGTGGAGGAGTACAGGTGCGTGTAGCCCAGCCGGTTGTGATCCACTTTGAACTGGAAGACCCCGTACACGTCGGGCAGCTTGAACTGGACGCTGTACTTGCCCCCTGGGAAGATGGCACACGTTATGGGAATGGTTCCCAAGCGCTTCTTAGCCAGGGCTCAGGGGATCGAGTGGGGCACAGGCTGTCCCAGGGGCCTGCCGTGGCTGGAATCACACTGACCTTTCCTCTTCAAGAAGGTCCGCACAAAAGGGTCGATGCGGACAAACTCTAGCTGAATGTCATCGCCATCAAAGGGGACCCATCTGCCATTGGAGAGCTGCTCAATCACGATGCTGTACTCCTGAGGCGGAAGGCTGGGTCAGCTGGGGTGGCAGTGGCTGCAGGGGCCCCATGGTGCCTTTAATTTCCACCTTGCTGACCTGCAAGTCCTCTGTTGCCCTCCAGCCTGAGCACAGCCAGCCACAGTGCCCAGGAGGCCTGGTGGCACCTCTGCCTCATCATGGCCCAAGCAGAATCCACAGCTCAAAGCCCTCTGCACTGCCAAACATGCCAGGCACTGTCCCAAGCAACAGATTCCACATCCCCTGCTTCTCTGCCTAACAAATTCATCTTTAAGACCCCAGTGAAATGCTACTTCTCTCCCAAATCCCACTTCCTGGGCAGAGTTCAGCAGCACAGTCTGCTTGCATGAAGCACCTGGAGCCCGGTAGTGACCCAGCCCTTCACAGAGTCCCCTGCTAGGATGGCAGTGTAGTGCCAGGCTCTGCATCTCATAAGCCTACTCTGGGATGCAGGTAATCCTTTATTCCACCCTCCTGTCCCCCACTCCCTGGCCTGGCCTGAAGTGTTTGATAAATGATTCTGAACTGAACTGATTCAACTTGGCCAAAACTTTCCACCCCAAGGGCTCTTACCACCAGGTCAGTGACAGTGTAGGCATTGGGTGGCGCTGTCTCACCCACTCGATGATGGGACACGGGCCCCACGCGGAGGACCCCCTCCTCCTTGAACACCCAGCGGGAGAGGGCCACAGCTAGCTCATAGTTGCCTGTCTGGGGATACCTGCAAAAGGGAAAAGGAGCAGCTAGGGCCCCAGGGCCAGCCTCTCCAGGGGTGAGGGGTGCCTGACGCTGAGCCAGCACCTAAGCAAGATCTTCCCTAGGCCTCCTGCATCCAGGGCTCCGTGAGTAAACAGCATACACACCGATAAGGTGGGGGGGGGGTAGTGTTCTGCATAACAAGTCACCGTTTTCTAAAAGGAGTGGAGAAGGCTAGGGGTCTCTAGATCTGCCATTACTGCCTGGAGAAGTCTGGAGAGTGCTGACACCAGCAGTACAGCAACAAGGTCATCTCAAATAATGGTAAAATCCAGAATAATGCAGCCTCTGACACTTACAGCTAAAATCCCCATATACACAGCCCACACACCCAGCCCCTCTCAGCGCCATGCCCACCTCTGGGCCCCAGGTGTGGCCTTCTGCACAGCTGAGTTGAAGAAGGCATCGCTGAAGAAGTCCAGGGAGCCGCTGAAGATCACCCGGGCGTTGTTCCTGGCCTGGAGCCCAGCAATGAGGAGGGTGTTCTTCCCCACCGCATGGGGGTACTGGAACAGAGGAGAGGGGCACCAGGCAGGGTAAGATAAAAAGCCACCAGAGCAAGAGGACAGCAGGCAGGACACCTAAGTGTCCCTGCTCAGCAAGGGGCTGGAGAGGACACGTTGCCGCCCACGTGCCCATTCCTCCAGCTGGTCCCTCGGCCTCAGGAAAGTGCTTCCTCTTTGTTCTTACTTTCAGACAAAACAGCACTGAGCCCCGAGCCCCTGGGCCTCAGAGCCACAGGCCCAAGGCCCCAAAGGCCTTACCTGGGTGATGGGTTTATCTGGGAAGAAGGAGTAAGAGGTGGACGAGCCCGTCAGGATGTCCAAAACCAGGGGGTTGTCAGGATCAGCCACCATCCTGCAGGAGGGGACAGCAGCCCAGGGCTGAGCCCAAAGGACGTGGGGTCCCCAAGGGCTACTACTTCTCAGGGATAAATCCGGCTTTCTTAGCAACACTTAACTCCCTTTGCCGTGACAGATCAGCCCCGCCCACATCCTCGGGGAAGGAATGCCCGCCAAATGGCCCTACGTTTGGCCCCTTCCTCCCCCAGGTTTCTGCTGGCCTGTCCCTGCTCACTCACCCAACTCCCCGAAAGAGGATGGGATTTAGAGCCGATTTCCCAACAATGGTGGGGGCCTTCAGCAGGTTCTCAGTGTCAGCCACGATGAGCGTATGCTGTAAGAAGCACGGGGAAGTAGAGGTTGGGAAGAGGCTCCCCGGGTCTCTAGGCCACAGCGAGCTTTGCCGTACACACCAGAAACCCTGAAGGTGACAGGCCGCATTACCTGGCCAGGGTCTGAGACGTCATAGTTGTGGTGATCAATGACAGCCGTGCGCTCCTCATCGAATTCGATCCCGCACTCACTGCCCAGCTCTCGGAGAGGGTCACCTGCACAGGCCCAGGAGATGCCTAGCTGAGCCCTTACCGATGGGCCAGGCAGAGCAGGGCCACGGCTCTCTTGTGGCTCCCTGGCTACAATCAACCCCAACACCCTACAGCTCCATTGGGCTCAGAATCTGAACTGAGAACAACAGCCCGGCCTGTCCCTCAACCACCTGTCAGCACAGCCCGCTGAAGCAAGAGACCAGCTCAGCCAAACCCAGCCAGGTGAGCCTGGGCATCCAGCGTCCGGCCAGTCCATAGCAGGAAGGTGGCTTTAACATCTGTTCTGAGAAACATGAGCCCAGGCTGGCCAGCTTTCAGTGCTGAAGCTCAGTGATGAGCACAGAGGGCTAATGACACAATGCCCCACCTACTTCTAGGTATCTCTGAAACTTTCCAAAATAGAAAATAAAATAAAAAGCTGTCGAATGCTTTGAGTGACCTGCTATCTTTCTGGAAGGAAGAACCAACCAGTCAAAACAATCGAAAAACTCAGCCAGGGTTTCCAGTCCTTCCAAACGGCCCAGCAGCCCCTGCACTGACTTCCTGGCCCTGGCCGGCCCATGAGTGCCAATGTAACAGCCTCCATTGGTACAAAGCTCTCCAAGCTCCCTGGGGCAAACGGCAGCAGCAGCAGAACTTCGAAGCCAGACTTACCGATGTCTGAACTGGCAGCCACCAGGACACTGCCTCCACCATCAATAAAGGCACTGATGGTCTCCACATTGATGTTGCCTCCAAAATCTGAAAGAAGGCACCAGACAGGTAACCAGAGAGTAGCTTCTCACTGCTGACCCCGGAGGTAGGGGTGGAAGGACCCTGCAGACAGGTCAAAACCAGTGAGAGGGGACCTTGTACGAGCCCAAAATGCATACCGATAGGATTATTTCAAAAGATGTGAAGTATAAAACAAAAGAGGCCTTTATTCTGAGAACACGGAGAGAGATAACTGACACTCCCTGACCGCTGCCAGCAATCTGGCGGACACGTGGTGTGGGGGGTATATAAGTAGCCTGAGCTTAGGGTAGTGCCCTAGGGCCATTAGAGATGCACAGGTGTTTCATTGGCACATGTTTGGCGCCAGGGGCAGATTTTTAAGGGTAGGGGGAGATGGAGTCACAGGTAAATCTCTAGGGGCGGGGAAGGTTCCAGTTGACGCTTTCCTGGCTACAGTGTCCCGTCTGGGCCAAAACCCTTCCACATACCACATCTGATGAAGGGCCTGCCCCATTCTTCCAGAGTGGAGATTCAAAGTAATGGCTTAGATCCATGAGCTTTTAGATTTATGAAATAGCCCAGTCCTGCTAATTCCCCTTACCAAGTATTTCTGATCACGCACCAGTGCACAGGGCTCCATGTAACACATTCACTTAGAAAAGCTGCATTTGCCACCCATTCCCTGGAATGATGTTACTCAAACGCCATCACCTGTACCCCCACACCCGTACCTTTGTCCTCGCTGGAGCCACAGCGGGCTCTAACAGGTTCCCAGAGCCTACCGATTGCACTTCATCCATGCTGTTTGGGCAAAAGCACCCCTGAATTGTGGACAACGCTGTCACTTGCCACTATACTCACTGGCCTGTCATTCATGGGTTTCT